CTGGGCCTCCCTTCTGAAGCTGCTGCCCCCGTGACCCGACCCCGGATAGGCGGAAGAAAATGGATGGATGGATGGATGGTGATAAGACCTTTTCTTCTCTTTGTTCCTTTTCATTCATGGTTTGATGTATCTTGGGTTTTGAATTATTGCAGATAATTTTTTTTGTATTTTTAATGAATAAAATGAAAAAAAAAAAAACTCTTGCCTAACCAAACCAAATTTTAGCAGAATATCTGTAAATTTGACTGTTTAATTGTCATTTGTGTCTTTTCTAAAATAAGTTGAATACTTTGTAAAAGACTGGCTCCAAAAGTTAATCATTTGTTGATTTTCAATCTTCTGATTATGTCCTGAAATTTTCAATAAAACCCTTACATTGGTCAAAGACACTTTACCAAGACAGATTCACTTCAATAGTTAATACCACAGTATTAAGAACAGATCTTACGTGATCAGTTAGCTCTTAGATACAAGTTGGAGTTCACTTTCAGCTGCTGCCACATCAAACCTTAGTATATCTGTGAAACTAACTGACAGCCCTTTTGTGTTTGCTAAGATGGCTTGTGGTGGCCATTCTGAATTGGGCCATTCAAAAGTTCATCTGTTAAAGATTGTTTTTTAAGGTTTCATCAAAATTCAATTAGTAAGTCATAGGATATTTTTGGTAATGACACAAGCAAATGAACACACACACAAAGGCAGACACGGACACATGGGTAAAACACATTATTGAACATCTCTGCCTTCGGTGGCGGGCAACACCAAACGACACAAACCCTCAGCTGCTTTCACTCACTGCTTCATTGTTCAACAGAAACAAGAATGCCTGGCAGCACACCAAACACAACAAAGTGCTCCGTCAGCAAACTATCAAAACGTTAAGAAATTAATGCGGAGAGATGATCAATTGTTTATTTTTAATATCTAATATTTATATTTCTGTGAAGCCTCCAAACGGGCTGGCCCCGCGTTGGCAGAGAGGTCTGTGTGTTGGCTCGTGCTTCCTGCGCACCCAATGTTTGCTTGCTTGTTTGTTTCACTAACGGAAACCACTTGTCGAAATGTTTTAGTAAAATGGCGCATCAAGATTTTATGGCAAAAACAATATATTTTTCATGATACATTTGAATTTCTCTGTCGAACATCATGGCGGCATTTATATTTCACTGAGTGGTAATGTATCCACTTCTTTTTTCCTCCTCTTCATGCAGCATTCAAAAGACACAAAAGAGACCAAAACTTCTTTTAATGCATACGAAAATAGATTTACAGTACAGTTCCTAATAGATTATAGGCTGAAGAACACAAATGACCAACACTGCAGAACCTTCCTTTCTCATAACGGAGGTCATTAAAATTGTCTGGCTGCTCGAGTCCTGGAGCCTGTTCAGAGCAGATGGGCAGGTTTCTTTTCTCTGAAGTCATATGGTGCATTAAGTGAAACAATAGTGAACCTCAGCACTTCAGGATCATAATTTATTCATTACGGAATGTCTTTTCAGGTCTTAATAAATAATAATTTAGCTGTATGCTTGCCTTTTGGACAGCAATGTTAACAATATTAAAGACCTAGCATATTATTTGTGTCATTCCTATAAACTACCCTTTTGACTTTTGGCAGTGAGTAAAAAAAACAACAAAATGTACAGTGAATTTATCAAAAACAATGCTGCAGATAAAACACTTTTTTTGGAAACCTAGAGCAGCAGCAACAACAACAACAACAACAACAACAACAACAACAACAACAACAACAACAACAACAACAACAACAAAATGACTAGTTAAATCACTTTGCTGTGACCCGCTGAGCTTCCTGAAAATGATCGTCTGGTCTTCCTTTCATTACTGTGGAATCAAATCAATCTGTTTCTACAACATGCCAAAAATCATTTCTGCATCTCCAGATAACCTCAATTGCATTAATGGGAACTATCTGCAAGCACTTAATCTTAAACAACGGTCTTTTGTCCAGAGTGAAATAGGAATTCATTGACGAGGCCAGACAGCAAATTTTATTTGTTTTTTTTTATTTTTTATAATCAGGCTGCCATTTTAAATTCCGGGCATCAGCACCTGCTAATGCATGAAGAACAATACATTAAAAACAATAGCTATTCTGCTGTGTTAATAATACAAATCTGTTGTCTGTTTGTGGAATGTTTAAAAATTCAAAGAAAAGTTACATTAATCACAAAACGTTGAAATTTACACAAGATCATATTGACAGAATATGCTTTATCAGAATTAAATTGAGTTGAGGATTTTAGAAACATTAAGCATGTGCACAAAACATTTGGGGTCACATTTATTTTAATTTTTTTAAAGGGATTTGGACATTTTGAAGTGATAATGTTAAAAACACTTAATATTTTACACACTGTAGCTAGCTCTCTGAACAGTTTCAGTTTAGATGATTATAGATTAGCTCTGACACCGGTGAAGTTAAAATCTGTTCCAAATGAAGACCAAAGTGTGTTTCTACAGTTTAATAAATGTTGATTTTTAACATTTTCACATCCTTTCAGGTGACCTGTCTTTTCTTTTTTTAATCTGACAGCCTAATTGGACCCTGTCAGACCTCTGTCTTAGTAAAATCTATTGCTGTGACTGAGCAGCGAGGAGTTCGACTGTACTGACCTGTCCACACTGAGAGCGCACAGGTTGAGGACAGTGATGCCAACAGAAGCCTTCTGCAGGAAAGGAAACAGCTTGCAAAGACACAGGCCGAACACACTGTCATCAAATGGAAAGCGGGATGCCAGCAGCTGTTGGAAAGACAGAATTCATGTAGTATTTTCTTTACCTTTTTTTTATTTTACTTTAAATAAAATATTTCATATTAGAATGGCAAAGCAAAATGTGTAAGATTGTGGTTTAAAAGAGACAGAATTAAGAGATAGAGACTAAAAACAAAAGCTTGTAAACCTGTAAAATCAGAATTCAACCTACAATCACAACAACTTTTACATTCAACTTTTACAAACTCTAAACCACACCTTTCTTCTTTTTATTACTTTTCATCACTTGCCTATGTTAATGGCTGTAATGTGGTCAATTCTACAGATATTGAGTTTCATTATGCAACGGTGTCAATGAGAGACAATTTTAGTGGCTTTGGATGAAGTGTAACATGATCTTGAGCATAAATATCTCAAAACATGTCAGGAGATTGTCTTTATGTTATTTTCAAGGTTTGACCAAAATGGCTACAACTCTGTCATTTCTTATTGTAAGACGTTCTTAATCCAAAACTTTGTCATGAAAAGTGCTTATATTATTTATTCACATGAGTTTATGTATTTAAATACTTTAAGTTTTTTTGTGAGTCAGACTTAATTCATTTCAACTGAAAATGTTCTTGTTGAAATCTGAAAGAAAGTCATTTGTGTGCAGCAAATGCTGCTACAAAGACTGCATCACATTCAGGAGTTACTGTGGATTTGCTGACATTTTAAATGTTTTATGTAGAGTAATAGATAAAATCTCTTGCAATCTGATACAGTTAAACTGCTAAGGTGTTTGTAGTCTTTTAGCAGAGCAGTCAACCCCTCCACCTATTTACTTCCTAAACAATTAACATCTTTCTGAGGCCCTATTTTATGACCAATCATGGTAACGACCCATTAAAAAGCCACACACACAAAACTGTTTTTTAAACTGTAAAATTCCTTGTAAACTAAAGAAATCTCAACACATATCAGTTTCAGCTGCAAGTTGGTTTGTTGTCCATTATTGTTTTAAAAGATTAGGTCTCATCTGATATCCTTTGTTAGAAACAAAAAGCAAGGACATCTTTATAGAGTTTTCCTTTGCACGTTTGTGACACTTTTCCTCCGTAAGGCAAAACAAAGGATGATCATTTTGTAAACAGCGCCCTTGCCCCAAGGAAGAGGGAACTGGGGNAGTGTTGTGAAGGGGGCTCTTTCTTTCTTTGTGCTCAGAGTGTTTCCTCTTGAAGATTTTTGTTTCCTCTTTGCACATGTGCTGCTCAGACTACAAAGTCGCTGTGCCCTCAGAGTCCCAAGTTAATTTTAACCAGGTGGTTTGCTCAGTTTTCCTCTTGCAAAACAACATCCTTTAATGTGGCTGAAAAGATCGCAATGACTGATCTTTTATTTTCGCCATCCCTCTTTAATAGTACACAAAGCACGGCCGTGTTTACTCGGCATGAATCAAATGGAGGTGGGAGCTTTGCAACAGTGTAGCATACCAAAACAGAAAAAAAAGTGTTGTGAGTCATGCAAAACTGGAACCATCTGTTGCTTTCGTGTTAATTTATCAAGTTTCATTCAAATTCATGTAATGGTTCAGAGGATATTTTGCTAACAGACAAACAGTGTTGACGCCAAAATGTTATATCAAGTTTTAAATCATTGTTTAAAGCTAGAGCTATTAACACTGAGAACATGTGTTAGGAATGACTCTCAGCTACTACCAGACCAAACGTGAGCTTAATATCTGTATCATTAACAGAGTTGTACCATTTTTTTGCATTTACTAAGGCTAGTTAGCTGTAGTGGCCATCTTGAATACGACTGACTCCAAAATGTAAGCAGCTGTAGGTCTACAACCAGTGGTTAATTAGTCAGAGTTTTAATTCATTCTAGTCTGATTCATGAGCTTTTTTGCTAACAGGCAGACAATTTGAACATGCAGTGACACATGCAATAACATGACCTCTAATGGCAGAAGTAAATAAAATAAAATAAAATAACACACAAGATGGCTAATGCCTATGACCAATTCAGTGGCATGTGTGACTGCAGGTTGACTCTTGTGTTTATTTATGTCTGCCATAGCCCAGCTCCTCTCATCACTAATCTGACCACATGAGGAAGATAACGCCGTCTGACTGATTACACTTTCCCGTCTTTTTGGACACTCCCTCGGACCCCTTCCACCCTGTTTTTCCTGTCTGTAAAATTCTACTTATCTGAACATGTCTCCTCTGTTGTGGCTGCGTTCCATCATATCAACACTGAGACCTGTCACTCAGCACCTTGGCTGCATAAGAAACAAATTAAAGGCTGCTCATAAACAAGCAGCAGAGAAACTAAATCTTTACCTTGTACACGTTGATAGGGATATCAATGAAAATGTAGATGAGGTCACCCAGGGCCAGGCTGGCAATGAGAGCATTGGGCCCATTCCTCATGCACTTGTGCTGGTATATAATCCTCAGGAGGGTGACATTTCCGACCAGGCCGACCACGAAGACTGTAATGGAAATGACGGTGTTGATGTACTTAAAATAGTTGCTGATGGAGAGAGCTGTGAGGCAGCTCGGAGGTGGCATCGGCCTTTTTACAACAGTTTCATTGGAAAAGCTGGATTCCGATGCTTTAACCTCAGCTCCTTTGCCTGGGTGGGTGGTGCTGTAGAAGCCTGGAGACTGCAGGGTGGAGTGGACCACTACGCCCGGGACAGAGTCTTCAGCTCCAGCTCCCTTTATCTGGCACATTCCTCTGGCTGCTAAACAAGCCATTAACATGAACATGTTCTTAGCTGGGGTCCCCATTATTGAAAGCACTAAAGCTCTTTGATTTCACTGATTGAAAGAATCGTGCCACTGTTGGGAAAGAAAAGAAAAAAAGAAAAAAAGTTTATTTCTGAATACACACATTGCTTGTTCTACTTCGAAAATAAAAATAAAGCAACTGGAGACATTGCATTTTTTTTGTAAAAATGCAGTATGCAGAGTGCAAAAAGAATTGCTTGAATTTTGCTGAAGAAACTGAAAATAAGTTGCTAAAAAAGGGCAAAATGCTAAAGGCCCTGTCTTGCTATAACATTTTAGACAGCTTATGCCAACTTATGAAACTTTTTAAACATCTAAATTAATAATAAAAGTTATACATTTGATCAGTTTGTTAGCATTACACTAAACACACACCTAAGAGAGGCTTCCAGTTATTTTTAATTCCATCTTCAATGTAGATGACTTTAAAATTTGCATAAGTTGGCACAGTGTGACAGGGTCTTAAGAGTAACAAAATAGGCTACTAACTAAAATCAAAAGACTAGTTACAAGGCAAAAGTAGCTAAATGGTAACTAGAAGAAAAAAGTTTCAATAGCTGAAGCATAAAGTAGACAAAAGTGCACAAAAGGTTGGTCAAAAACTAAAAAAATGCAAAAAAATAAAAAAACAAAAAAGTTGAGCTAAGAGTAACAAACAAATATCTGAAAACTAAAAGTAGCTAAACATTAGCTTTAAGCTAACTTTAGCATAACATTAGCTTTAAAAGGCTACAAAAGACTAAATTGGCAAAGTACTAGCTAAAATCTACAATTGATAAAAGGTTAACTACAAATCTAAATGTGGTAAAAGGCTATTAAACCCCATAAAAGGGCTAGCTATAGTAGCAAAAAACAAACAAACAAAAAAAAAACTATTGAAGCATAAATTCACAATAAATAAATAAATATTCTGATGTAGATTTCAAACAGAACAATGTTTTTTAAATAAATTGAAAGATCTTGCTGTATTTCTAGAGGATAAAACAATTTGAAAGTATTATTAAATATTTAGAGGAGTATAAAAGTTGTAAAAAACAAAAATCAGCATCCTTCTTCTAAATGTGTTTTGATTTATGAAAAAAACATAAATAAAACAACGTGAAGAAGTGATTTTTGAAAAAAAAGAACAAAAATGAATGAAGAAAAAGGAGCACAGAAAAAAAAAAACAGAAGAGTGAAAGCTGAATCAGCATTCAAACAGTCCAAAGTTTAGAATAAAAGTCAGCCATAAAGTTTGGAAGCATCACTGTCCCACTCAGGAGCGACTAGGATGTCTGACAATATTAATACTTCAAAAATATTTAGCCGAGGGGGCACAGATGGGGGATGCCATCACTGGTTACAATCAGGGAGTGAGGACGAGGCATCAGCAGAACACATTGGGCAGCTCTGCTCTCACTCATTTCTACAAGAAAGAGGAGTTGTTTGTGTTTTTGAGCCAATACTACTTGTGACAAGGAGTCTTTTGCACAGATTTGCACAATAGGATTTCCCCAGCTTTGTATTCTTTTTCTGCTTCTAATTGCAAAAGGTTAAAACATGTGGTTATGAGTTTCTTTTCCCCACAAATAAATAAATAAATAAACAAAAAGATTGCAAAGGAAGAGGCTGGGGGGTAATTTCCAGTAAGCTTCTCAATAAAATTTAAAATAGAAAACAGATGAAGACGAAAATCGAAACAAAAACAAAACAAAACGAAAAACAACATTTTACCATATGTTTTTCATGTAAAAAATGTTATCATTTGTGGGAAAAATCAGAGTAATTCATCTGACATTACTGATGGTAATAACTGGTAAAAGTTTTAAACTGTCAGAGAAGAGCTGAAGCCCGTTTCATCATGTCTTTGTACAGGCAAGACTTATAGCCCAGAGTTCTTCCTGTTCAAAGTCCCTGCTGTCACCAAGTACACAAAAAACTATTTAGCAGCCAGCCCTTCAAGTAGCATCACAGTTTAGCATCAGCATGACACTGCTGGGATCTGTGACAGCACACAAACTGATCTGTCCATAAATAATAAATACGTTTGGTTTTCACCTACCGCTTCTAAAATGTCTGCCTGGCCCCCTTGGAAAGCGTCAGGCAAACTTTCAGCTGAAGCCCCCAGACATCTGTAGCACATCACATGAGTAATTAACGCACTATCAAAGCTGCGCCATATCCCACTTGGTTTGAGCAATGCACCCGTCTGCTCTGAGGTGCCTTCGCATTATGGCTCAGAGTTTCCTGTGGAGAGTTTGCAGTATGTCTAAGTGCGTGTGTGTGTGTCAGAGCACCAGTGAGACACATTGACTGGGTGGGATAGTAGTCTCCACCTCCCTTCGGCAACAGACTGGGCCCCCTTCGGAAACATCACCCTCCTTTTCCCTCTTTTTCTCAGAGGCACTGCCTGCTGACAATCATCTCTAGCAGCACACACACACACACACACACACACACACANGTATAAAAGCCTCTCTCTAAGACACGCCCCTGCAGCAGTCAGAGGGTGGAACAGTTAGCAAGTTTAGCATGATCGTCTGTTGACCTTCAGCCTCGGTGGAGAGAGCTCACTGCTGCGCTGCTCTCTCCCTCCACACACACACACACACACACACACACACACACACACGGACAGGGGCATATTTTTAAAGCCAAAGACCCCTCCAATCTGCCCCACTTCTGGAACCCCTCCTACTTTCTCATTCAATCCTCCCGTCAGTCACACTGTGTCTTGTATACAATAGACACGAATGTTAACCCACACAAAGGCAGCCTTAAAGACAAAGCTTTTGAAGTGGGGTTTACAAACATTAAATATCTTACCTGTTGTAGATATCTCTTTGAATGACAGTTTGTAGACAAACATTTTAACTTTAACTTGATTGGCAAGCTTTGGTGTTGGTGCTAAGACCAAAGCAGATCTTTGTTGTTTTAAATCAATTTTAACCTCGGAAGTTGATTATCTTTGTTCATCAGTCTGGTGAAAATTAAAATGAAATCATTCAAATAGCTATCTGTAACAGGTAAGATATTGATTGTTAATTGCATTTTTTATAGACCCAAATTTTAACTGAAAGTTGAAGCCTACAAACAACCAGCCATTATGTTTGTGTGTGGTCAAACTGCAACCTCATCCGACCCCTGTCATTACACTTCTTTATCAAACTCAGAACAAACAAGAAAAAAAAAATCCAAACAAACAAAGGAAACATAGCAAAAATAAACCAGTCAAACAAAACCAACCAAATTCCAAAGTGTTGTCTGGGGTGACGATATGCATGAGTGATGGAAGAAAACCGTTTAATGTCAAGAATGCTTATACACAGTACATCACTGCACATCATGGATTCAAAAATGGGCCATTTATCCTGATGGGAGCTGAGAGGAGGAAGAGTGCTTTCAAAGACATAACAATGTGTGGTTTACTCTGCCAAAAGGCTGACACAGCAACCAATCGGAGAAAACATTCAGTTAAAATTAATGGCTGAGCATACCTTGAAGAAATTCATTTCACCCTCTGCCAATGACACCAGAGATTTGAGCTAGGATCCTTTTATTATGGAAAATGACAGAGTTATAGCCATAATAAAGTGCTCAATCTTCACAATGTGTGAAATTATTTCTATTGGAAGTTTTAAATAAACCTCAGTTTGGTTTGTAAATTTCCAGAAAAGTAAGTATGTTCTGCTTTTAGGAAAAAATAAAAAAATAAAATCAGTATACAGACATCTGGATTTCTTGTTCTATATTATACAGAGGTCTAAAAAGTACTTCAAAGAAATAACTAAGTAAAAGTTAAAATACCTTAAAAGAAAATGACTTTGGTAAAATTTTCACTGATAAGAAAAGTATTTAAATAAAAGTCATAAAACTGCTCACAATAATCAGGAACGTGAAAATACTTTTACACACACTCTAAATGAAGTGTTAAATTTACTTAACCAAACTGGTTCCACTAAACCAAGTTAAGAGAAAGAAAATATGTAAATTTATTTACATTTACTCACCTAAGTTTAGTGGAACCAGTTGACATACAGTAACTTGCACTTCAATTAAAAAAATGTATATAT